GCGCCCTAGTGAGTACTCCAAGACGCTCAATGACGTGCGCCTCAAGGTCCTGGCGGCGCGCGAGGTGGCGATCCAGGTGCGGCCGTGCGGCGCTGCGCTGTCATGTTGCTGTTCAAGTACTGCAGCAGAAGCGCCGGGCTCCGCCAGTGCGTCAGTCTGGGTCGTCTGCGGCTGCCCTCCGCTTGTTCTCTTGCTGGGAGCAGCAGTCGTCGACTCGGCCTCGGCCGCAGCTGCAAGACAACTGAGGATTGAGGCGTCTTCTAGGCTGGGGCTGCCCGCGTCCAAGCAGCAGAAGCCAGCTTGACAAGGCGCACGAGCAGCCGGGCATCATGCCGCCGCCCCGCGCTCTGCCTCCCACACCGCCGCCTCTGCGGCCGCCTCCACACGCGCCTCGTCCCTTGCCCCTTGTCCGCGCAGAGCGTGGTGCAGGAGGCGAAGCTCAAGGTGCGGGAGGTGGCCAAGAACCCGGCCGCCTACAAGAAGCTGGTGCAGGATCTGCTGGTGCAGGTGAGGGGGTGCAGACGGGACAGACGCTCAGGGGTGGGCTGGATCAGGCGGTCGATTGGGGGGGGGTCCGGTCTGCCCGCGCGCGCCCTCATGTTTGCGTGCGAGGGTGTGTGTGTGTGTGCGTGTGTGTGTGTGTGCGAGGGACGAAGAGGGCGGGTAGACACGAGTGTGTGTGTGCTGCTGCGTCTGCACATGTGAATTGAGTCTCATGGGTGATTTGCGTTGGCATCCATGCGTGCCACATTGCACGCTGTCGCGCACACCGAGCCCCGCGGCTCTGCGAGCGACTGCGTTGCACGCGCGCCCCAACCCCAACCCACCCTGAACCCCATTTCAGGCCCTGCGCAAGCTGGGGGAGCCCACAGCGGTGGTGCGCGTGCGCCAGGTGAGCGGCCCCCATCCCCACCACATGAAAGCAGCCGGCGCGAGAAGCCCATGCTCAGCCCCTCAACCCGTGCCTCCCGCCGCCCTCCCCCTCCCCTGTGTGCTCCCCGGTGCGCCCTGTCGTGTGCTCATAACAGCAACCCTTGTTGCTCCCTCTACACCCTGTCACCGGCTTGCGCCCCCGCACCCCTCACACAACACCTGCCCGCCTCGAAAAACTCCTACAGCCCCCCAACGCATCCGCACACACCCACGCAACCACACACAAAAACACGCGCGCACACATTCAAACTAGCACGCATGCATGCAAACCCTTCAGTGCGCATGCCTCACAGAGACACACACACACACACACACACACACACACACACACACACACACACACTTTTCATACTTAGACTCACGCACACATGTACACACACACACACACGCACATGGTCAACCCCCAGGTTGACCTGGCCCTGGTGAAGGAGCTGGTCGAGCCGGCCCGCAAGGCCTACGCCGCCGCGTTTGGCGAGGAGGCGCCCACCATCACCATCGACTCCCGCGACTTCCTGCCGCCGCCACCCAAGGCCGGGGACGCCGACGCCGCCGGCTGGTGGGCGGGGTGGCATCGTTGTGGCAGACCCGGAGGGGAGGGGGCTGCCGTGTGGCGGCATGCCGCACTCTGTTTGACGTCCCTCACTCAGCTTACCAGCTCGCTTGATTGCATGTGCGGCGGTCCATACGCGCATTGACCCTCTGTCACGGACACACACATGCTCACGCGTGCGCGCGCGCACACACAAACACACACACACACACACACGCACACACACATACACACACACGCACTCACACGTACTCACGCTCACACACACACACACACACCACGCCCTCCCGCAGCTCTGGCGGCGTGGTGGTGACGAGCGCCGACGGCCGCATCGTGTGCTCCAACACACTGGACGACCGCATCGCCATCACGTACCAGGCCAACCTGCCCACCATCCGCGCGCAGCTGTTTGGCGCCACCGCCGCGGTGCACTGATCCGTGCAGCGCGCGCGTCGCTCTTCTGTGCGCCCGTCCGGTGCTGCGCTGGCGACGCCGCCCAGTGTGCGGTGCCGTGCGCGCCCCTCAATCACGGGCGATAGGCACCCCTCTGCCGCGGCCGGCCGCAGCAGCACGGGCTACTCGGGGCCGGAGCGTGTGGGCGGAGGCGTAACTGCCGCGCGGCGCTGATTGCGTGACGCCCAGGCGGGCCTTTTTGCGTGCGGCAAAATCTGCTCCAGAACTTCCATCTGTCCTCTGTTCCTGCAGACGGGCAGCGCGTGACTGCTTTTGGGTTCCGAGGCGCGTTTCGGTGTGGCGACCTGCATGCAACCAATCGTGTAAGGGGCTGCGTGCGCCGTCCCCCGGGTCAACAAGGAATGCTCCTCATCGGGATCGGACGGACGTCACAGGTTGCGCCCAGGATCGGCGTTGATTGACATGAGTGCCGTGAGCTGCAGGGAGGCAACAAACGGCTGCAGTGGCGGTGTCGGCGTGCACGCCAACCCACCCCCCAAACAATCATTTCTACAGGGCTGAACAGGTCAGTAACGCAGGCGTGGCCCAGTCCCAGGCGACCACAGCAACACAACCGCGCTGGCAGCAACTGCATGTGGCCTCGCTGCCCCCGCAGGCAACCCTGTCCGGCAGCGGGGCAGACACGCTTAAAAAGTACATTTGACTCTGCTTTCATCATTATATAGAGGCACCTAGATTCTCTCGGCCTTGGTTGGTGCTGAAAACTCCAGAATAAGCCTGCTGCACGGAGTGTTGAAAAAGACATGGCAGCTGTGTGGGGCCCGCAGTGATGCGGTGGTGTTTCACCAGGGACTTGTGGGCATCTCAACACAAAATACTGCAAACGTGCGTTGCAAGCCAGCGTCGCACGCAGCTTGCACCTGTACAGAAGCCGCACGCCGATCTAGACACTAGCCTGGCCCAGGGAGTCAGGGGCCCAGGGCCTAGGCCCGGTGCCCAGGTCAATCCGAGGCATTGCCGGGGCGCACCGCGGATTTGTGCATGTGCAGCAGCAGAACGGAACACCTGGACGCGGCCCCGGCTCCTGCCACCCCAGGACACAGTGAGGTCGCAGCCCCGCAGGGTGTGGTGCCAGTTTATGTCACCGCCGCCCCCATACCGCAAGTGGCAGTGGCCAGGATGGTGGGTCGGCAATCGGCGATGGGGTGTGCAAGCGAGCCGATTTTCACGCCAGAGCTGCCTTGCGGCTGCACAGCGGGTCCAGGGTGCCGCCGTTCACGTCAGGAGGCCACCACTCGCGGTTTTCGCCGTCATCACCCGCGGCCCCCCAACAGCCGACTGCATCACCGCATCAACATTTGGCTGAACCTAGCCGTGAGCGGCCGTTTCCATTCGCGAAGGGGCGCGAGAAGAGGGCGGTGCTGGCCCTGCTGGGCTTGTGCCGGCGGGTGTTGAGGCTCTCCGGCCACAAGCGGCTGCGCTCAGACGAGGGGGGTCCGGAGTACAGCGGTGCTCTAGAGGGCTACGCGGCCCTGGGGCCGTGCGGCGCTGGGGGCAATGCGCCTCGCTGCAGGCCAGCTAGATCTGGTCAAGGAGACCACTCGACCTGGGCCTCTCAAAAGCACAGGCGCTTGGTGATGATGGCACCAAACACCAACATGTACAGGAAGGAAAACCGATATATACATCGCGACAAAGCAGTAAGAGCACACAATACAATTCCCAAAATGATGGGAGGCCCAACTTTGCTTTGCTTCGTTGCAATCGTCTAGGCCAGCTAGACTCCTCCCGCCACGGCGACCAACCGGTTTGAAACAACAACAGGGGTTAAACACAAATAAACACAAACTAGCCGCCAAGTGCTGACGGCAACTAACTCGATACAGAAACAAGCCAAATTAAGCTGCCGACACGCAGCAACGAGGGCGCACTGCACACACCCAGGAGACACGCCTGGCCCTGGGCCCTTGGGCCTCTCGAGGCCGAAATTGCTTTGCTTTGCTCTGTTACAATCGTCTAGGCCAGCTAGACTCCTCCCGCCACTGTGACCAACCGGTGTGAACCAGCAACAGGGCTTTGAGCACAAGCTAGCCGCCCAAGGCAGGCGGCAACACACGTAACAACATACAAGCCAAGATGAAGCTGCAGATATACAAACAGAGCAATGAGGGCGCA